CAAAAGCCTTCCTTTTTTTATAATTTAAATTTCCTTGTTCTTCTCTTTCAGTTTTGTTCACTCGCTTTTCTTGAACTACTTTCAAATTAATGATTCTATTGTTGTTGTTAAATATTATCTGGTGTGAACTACACTTGACGTGGTTTAATTGGTTAAGGCAGGCAACCAAGATTCACTTTTTGTTAATGTATATTTACTCAAATAAATGGACTATTTTAGTTACTGTATTTTTTATTTTAGTTTATTTTGGATATTATATTCTTAAAATATCTATTTTTATTTTCTTGCTTTCAACTTTGTTCATGGCAAAAAAAGAAAAAAGACGGTGGAGTTGGGTTTCGACAGGAATTTGATTCGATTGGAGGACGTGAGCATAGATGGGGATTGTCTGTCTCCCTCCGTTTCCATAATTAGTTATTGTACTTTTATGTTAAAATTTTGATTGAAAAATTTAGATAAAAATAAAAATAAAGAGAAAAAAAAACAAGCGTTGATGGTACATGAACTCAAATAAATAAAATTTAAAAGAATAAATTAGAATTGAAAATACAAACACGGTGGCATCCAGCCTATTATTAAGTAGGCTTAATTAGAGTGGAAATGGAGTGGCACCTTCATTTGAAAGAGATTCGGAAATTAACCTGAAACCGTTCCCAAAACGGCTAAAGCGGTGTCTTTTTATTTTCTCTCTCTATTATTTTATTATTTATTTTTTGTGATTTATACCTTTAAATTTTATTGTATTTACTTGTAGTGTAATGTTATTTTTAAGGAAAAAGAAAAACCTATCTCCACCGTTGATATTGAAAATTCATCTACAAAACGGTTTAATCAACAAACTCAATCTTATTTATAATTTTCTAAAAATGATGATTTAACAATACTTTTATTTTTGGCTTCCAATAAAAAAGTTAGCTCGATTTTTCTACTACAATTTCTTTACTTATTTTTCACTCTCTTTAACAAAATGTTATCGTAAAGCTCGACTGGATCTCGTTAAGTAAAAAATAGCGAAATTATATATAAATTAAAAAGTTGATCATAGTCAAGATAATCAAATGGTAAATAGTTTAATTTTTTTTAAAAAAAAAATGACTTCATGGGGATAAAATTTTGTTTATATTGTGGTTAATTTAAAATTTAAGTCTCATAATTTAGAAAGTAGCAAGAGTAACAAGTACGTAATTCCTTAAAAGAAACAAAAGAAAATTTCAAATTGAATTTAATAGTCGACATAAGAATTAGTAATTTGATGTGATGTAAAGGAAGTTTCTTGGAAGTTGAATAAGTAGTTGGTTGGAAAGCATTTTATCACTCCAGCATCTTCGGAATCTTCTTCTTTTCACTTCCTTTCTCCATCTTCTTGAAAAATATTAAAAAGGAAAAATAAAATATAAATAAATTTTTATATGAAATAAAAAATACTTACATATTTATGTCTACCACATTAAATTTTTTATAACTAAGAGAGTGAAAGACAGAAATTTTGATTTTTTTTTGGGTTAAAAAACTAAAAATTTGTCAAATTTTTATTGTGGTCAGCTTCATAAATGTGAGTGCTACCAGATAAAAAGTATGGTTGACATGATATTTGTACAATTTCAATCTAAATTTGCTTTTGATTCCACCAATAAAAAGCTTCATAGTCTTTACTTATAAACTAGAAATCTTCTTTCTTCTTTTTTCTAATTGGTGTGGACCTATATTGATATTTGAACTTTGTTTTTTCTTTCGAAAAAGATGGGAAAATGATTGTACTTTTTGTATTTGTTTGATCACAAAAATGATCCAAGCTCGGTTCGGAAGTTCGAACTTCAATTACCGATGTACGAAGGATCTGCATAATAGAGTTAGTACTTTGACGCTAAAGTCAGTACACTATCCAATCAATACTCAAGAGATAATGTTGTTTTCGCATACTTTGTATGTGAAGTGGGATAGAGACGAACTCTCGATAGAACTTCCAACAGCACTACAACAACTCTCCAACTACTCGAGAAAAGCGGTACTTGTTGATGGTTAGTTGGGTGACGAATGTGGTTCGACTTAGCGTCCAACTCCGAGCTCAACTTGTCCAAGTGAAACTTTTTATTTAGTTCTCCTTATAAAAAGTAAGTTGCTTGCTAGAAGCCTTCGTCTGTATCGGAATGTGTCAAATCACACCGTTGAACACGATCATCTTTTATACAAAGTGGAACTATAATAAGCAAAATGCAAATCATGATTAAATCAATTTAGAATAGTTCTAATAAATTAAATTAAGACTCTCTCTGTTTTTTTCTTCTAAATATGAAATAGATATCCATTTCATGCTAGCCTTTTCCCATTTGGAATGAGAATAAACGAATCAAAATTATTCTTTATTCTTTTTTCATTTTTATTATTATTTATTAAAATAAAGTGAATGTGATTCCACTTATACTTAATTAAAAGTAATATTAATTCCCTCGTTTTTCTTTTGAGTCTCGTATTAATTTTTTATTTACTATCTATTTTATGAATTGATATTTATAAATATTGATCTTATTCTAAATATTTGTACACTTCTAATTTATAGATTTTTTTTTAATAAATAATATGTGAGAGGGAGGATTAGAAGTTCGGACATCTCATTTGAATTTATAAAATTTAAAATCTATACAATAATAACATTAAGAAAAATAATGCAGTGGAAAAAGTATAGAACTGAAAAAATAGAAAGCAAAGACTTGTATTCTTTTTAAGTATAAAATCTATTTTTCTCTTTCCACACACACCTCAAATTTCGATGGATTTTCAATGAATTTTGATTCGGTATTTCATGACATTGAAAGATTTGAAATTTTATTAGATTTCAATTTTTTTTTTTTGTACGTGACAAATTTTCCCGTATCAAAATGGGTTGGATTTTGCATGATTTCATACAATTTCGATTAAATTTCCTATTTAACTTTATCATATTTTAATTTCTAATTAATAAATCAGTAAATTTTTTATTTTCTTTTCTTTTACAGCGAACATCT